TGAAACATTTCACTTACTGTTACCAATGATGCGGCACCACTCCTCCCACTGACACCAATGATGGGGCACCATTCCTCCCACTGACACCAATGATGGGGCACCATTCCTCCCACTGACACCAATGATGGGGCACTATTCCTCCCACTGACACCAATGATGGGGCACTATTCCTCCACTGACACCAATGATGGGGCACTATTCCTCCGCTGACACCAATGATGGGGCACTATTCCTCCCGCTGACACCAACGATGGGGCACTATTCCTCCCGCTGACACCAACGATGGGGCACTATTCCTCCCACTGACACCAACGATGGGGCACTATTCCTCCCACTGACACCAACGATGGGACACTATTCCTCCCACTGATACCAATGATGGGGCACTATTCCTCCCACTGACACCAATGATGGGGCACTATTCCTCCCACTGACACCAACGATGGGGGCACTATTCCTCCCACTGACACCAACGATGGACACTATTCCTCCCACTGATACCAATGATGGGGCACTATTCCTCCCACTGACACCAATGATGGGGCACTATTCCTCCCACTGACACCAATGATGGGGCACTATTCCTCCCACTGATACCAATGATGGGGCACTATTCCTCCCACTGACACCAATGATGGGACACTATTCCTCTCACTGATACCAATGATGGGGCACTATTCCACCCACTGACACCAATGATGGGGCACTATTCCTCCTGCTGACACCAATGATGGGGCACTATTCCTCCCACTGACACCAATGATGGGGCACTATTCCTCCCACTGACGCCAATGATGGGACACTATTCCTCCCGCTGACCACCAACGATGGGGCACTATTCCTCCCACTGACACCAATGATGGGCACTATTCCTCCCGCTGACACCAACGATGGGGCACTATTCCTCCCGCTGACACCAACGATGGGGCACTATTCCTCCCACTGACACCAACGATGGGGCACTATTCCTCCCACTAGACCACCAACGATGGGGCACTATTTCTCCCGCTGACACCACCGATGGGGCACTATTCCTCCCACTGACACCAACGATGGGACACTATTCCTCCCACTGATACCAATGATGCGGCACTATCTCCTCCCACTGACACCAATGATGGGGCACTATTCCTCCCACTGACACCAATGATGGGGCACTATTCCTCCCACTGACACCAATGATGGGGCACTATTCCTCCCACTGATACCAATGATGGGGCACTATTCCTCCCACTGACAACAATGATGGGACACTATTCCTCTCACTGATACCAATGATGGGGCACTATTCCACCCACTGACACCAATGATGGGGCACTATTCCTCCCACTGATACCAATGATGGGGCACTATTCCTCCTGCTGACACCAATGATGGGCACTATTCCTCCCACTAATGTTAATGATGGGGCACTATTCCTCCCACTGACACCAATGATGGGGCACTATTCCTCCCACTGACACCAATGATGGGGCACTATTCCTCCCACTGACACCCATGTTGGGGCACTATTCCTCCCACTGACACCAATGATGGGGCACTATTCCTCCCACTGACACCAATGATGAGGCATTGTTTGCTTTTCTGCTCACAAGCAGTGGACTCTCTCAAAGTCTGAAGGGCAAAAAACTGGTCCTTTGTTTAGAAAGTTTGAAGTCCCCTGTGGTAGCCTGTGAAGGCTTTTAAAGCGTCACCTATGGACAGTATTAGATGCCTTCATTTCTTGCCATTTCACAGTCGTGCAAAATTTTAGTTTTTTCTTGTTTGATGTCTATTTATTTGGCACAACATCATGTTTTAGATTTCACCAAAAAAAAAATAATGGGCATTAAGCATTAAAATGAATGCTCCTCCCCTACCTGATGGAAGAGCGCGCCAGGCCGATCCCGGACATCTTGGAGATTCTGTCAGGCTTCACCATCCATGTTGCACATGCACAGCTCCGGCTGCTGGCGGACACCTTGGAGATTCCACCAGGCTTACCATCCATGTGGCACATGCACAGCTCCTTCTGCTGGCGGACACCTTGGAGACTCCACCAGGCTTACCATCCATGTTGCACATGCACAGCTCCGGCTGCTGGCGGACACCTTGGAGACTCCATCAGGCTTACCATCCATGTTGCACATGCACAGCTCACCCTGCTGGCGGACACCTAGGAGACTCCACCAGGCTTACCATCCGTGTTGCACATGCACAGCACCGTCTGCTGGCGAACACCTTGGAGACTCCACCAGGCTTACCATCCGTGTTGCACATGCACAGCACCGTCTGCTGGCGGACACCTTGGAGATTCCACCAGGCTTACCATCCATGTTGCACATGCACAGCACCGTCTGCTGACGGACACCTTAGAGACTCCACCAGGCTTACCATCCATGTTGCACATGCACAGCACCTTCTGCTGGCGGACACCTTGGAGACTCCACCAGGCTTACCATCCATGTTGCACATGCACAGCACCGTCTGCTGACGGACACCTTGGAGATTCCACCAGGCTTCCCATCCATGTTGCACATGCACAGCTCCATCTGCTGACGGACACCTTGGAGATTCCACCAGGCTTACCATCCATGTTGCACATGCACAGCACCGTCTGCTGACGGACACCTTAGAGACTCCACCAGGCTTACCATCCATGTTGCACATGCACAGCACCTTCTGCTGGCGGACACCTTGGAGACTCCACCAGGCTTACCATCCATGTTGCACATGCACAGCACCGTCTGCTGACGGACACCTTGGAGATTCCACCAGGCTTCCCATCCATGTTGCACATGCACAGCTCCACCTGCTGACGGACACCTTGGAGATTCCACCAGGCTTACCATCCATGTTGCACATGCACAGCACCTTCTGCTGGCGGACACCTTGGAGATTCCACCAGGCTTACCATCCATGTTGCACATGCACAGCACCTTCTGCTGGCGCACACCTTGGAGATTCCAAAAGGCTTACAATCCAAAATTTGTTTTTTGTTAAAAAAAAGCTAAAAAATGCTAAAAACTGCAAACATGGGAAAACACCGCTAAACGCTAATGCAAAAACGCTAAAAAACTTGTGTTTTTAATGAGACTTTACATAGCTAACATTACCAGCATTATCAAAACGTCCCGCATGTATGAGGGCTTAGGTTGAACTGGATAAACACACACTCACCGGCCACTTTGTTAGCTCCACCTCTTCAATTGCTTAATAATACAAATTGCTAATCAGCCAATCACATGGCAGCAGCTCAATGCATTTAGGCCTCTAGATGTGGTGAAAACGATGAGCATAGGAATGGGGAAAAAAGGGGATTTAAATGACTTTGAACATGGCATGGTTGTTGGTGCCAGACGAGCTGAACTGAGTATTTCAGAACCTGCTGATCTACTATAATTTTCCCACACAAACATCTCTAGGGGTTACAGAGAATGGTCCGAAAAAGAGAAAATATCCAGTGAGGGGCAGTTGTGTGGAGGAAAATGCTTTGTTGATGTCAGAGTCCAGAGGAGAATGGGCAGACTGGTTGGAGATGATAGAAAGGCAACAGTAACTCCAATAACCCCTCGTTACAACCAAGGTATGCAGAATACCATCTCTGAACACACAACACGTCCAACCTTGAAGCAGATGGGCTACAGCAGCAGAAGAATACACTGGGTGCCACCCTGTCAGCTAAGAACAGGAAACGAAGGCTACAATTCACACAAGAAAACCAAAATTGGACACTAGTATATTGGAAAAACGTTGCCTGGTCTGATGAGTCTGGATTTCGGCTGCAACATTCAGATGGTAAGGTCAGGATTTGGCATCAACAACATGAAAGTTGAGTGTAAATTGGCAGTAAATTATTCTTTATTGACTTCCTTGTAGTTTTATTTATCTTTTCAAAGCCAATTGGTGCAGATTAAAGTTTATTGTTTATTATTATATTAGTGTGCTATAAGTTTATCATTTACCAGGCCAAGCAATTTATATGTTAATACAATCGTACTTTTTATGTTTACTTTAATTCCTGGCAGTTTTGCATTTAATGCTTCATTGTGCTCAGCTGACCTGAAGAATTATCTTAGCTAGACTTCCTTCTGGACATCTTCTCCTGTTTTTCTTCGTCCTCCTTCGTCCTCCTTCGTCCTCCTTCGTCCTCATTTGCTTGAATCCTCTTCTTCTCACGTTCCAAGTCCTTATTTCACCGCTAGCCTGCCGGGCACTTCTACCCCCTTCCTGCCTACCGGGCACTTCCACCCCCTTCCTGCCTACCGGGCACTTCCACCCCCTTCCTGCCCACCGGGCACTTCCACCCCCTTCCTGCCCACAGGGCACTTCCACCCCCTTCCTGCCCACAGGACACTTCTACCCCCTTCCTTCCCACCAGGCACTTCTACCCCCTTCCTGCCTACAGGGCACTTCTACCCCCTTCCTGCCTACCCGGCACTTCTACCCCCTTCCTGCCCATCGGGCACTTCCACCCCCTTCCTGCCTACAGGGCGCTTCCACCCCCTTCCTGCCTACAGGGCGCTTCCACCCCCTTCCTGCCTACAGGGCGCTTCCACCCCCTTCCTGCCTACTGGGCGCTTCCACCCCCTTCCTGCCTACTGGCGCTTCCACCCCCTTCCTGCCTACAGGGCGCTTCTACCCCCTTCCTGCCTACAGGACACTTCTACCCCCTTCCTGCCTACAGGGCACTTCTACCCCCTTCCTTCCTACAGGACACTTCTACCCCCTTCCTGCCTACAGGGCACTTCTACCCCCTTCCTGCCTACAGGGCACTTCTACCCCTTCCTGCCTACAGGGCACTTCTACCCCCTTCCTGCCTACAGGGCACTTCTACCCCCTTCCTTCCTACAGGGCACTTCTACCCCCTTCCTGCCTACAGGGCGCTTCTACCCCCTTCCTGTCCAGACCAATTTCCAGCTGTCGCACTTTGAGTGACAATTGCGCGGTCATGCAACACTGTACCCATATGACTTTTTATCATTTTTTTGTGACAGATAGAGCTTTATTTGTTGGTATTTAATCACCTCGGGGTTTTTTTTATTTTTTTCTTAAACAAACCAAAAACCACTAAAAATTTTGAAAAAATGTTTTTTTTTCTTAGTTTTGGTTATAAAATTTTGTAAATAAGTGATTTTTCTCCTTCACTGATGTGCGCTAATGAGGTTGCAGTGATGGGCACTGATGAGGAGGCACTGGTAGGTGACACTGATGGGCATTGACAGGCATCACTGATGGGCACTGATAGGCGGCACTGACAGGCACTGATAGGTGGTACTGAAAGGCAACTCAGATGGGCACTGATATGTGGCATTGATGTGCACTGGTAGGCACTGATATGTGACATTGATGTGCACTGGTAGGCACTGATATGTGGCATTGATGTACACTGGTAGCACTGATATGTGGCATTGATGTACACTGGTAGCACTGATATGTGGCATTGATGTGGCACTGATTAGCACTGACACAAGGCACTGATGGACACTGACAGGTGGCACTGCTGGGGGGCTACACTGATCATCAGGGCACACTGATCATCAGAGCCCTGATGATCAGTGTAGATGTCCCCTCTGAGGAATGCCGATTACGGCTCTCCTCTCTTCTCCTCTGTCAGCGTGACAGCTCGTGAGAAGAGAAATGCTGATAACCGGCATTTCCCTGTTTACATGTGATCAGCTGTGATTGGACACAGCTGATCACATGACCGAGCTGACATCTTCGGCTCTTTCCGTGATCGGTGATCCGCTGTGTCCGAGGGACACAGCGCACCGCCAATCGCCGCGCTGCGTGCTCCCTGAGCCGCGCATGCACGGTGAGACTGGGAGGACATCATATGACGTCCTCCCAGAACGAGAGAAACCGCCTTGCGCCCGTCGTATTACTATATGGCGGGCGGGAGGTGGTGAAAGGCAGATTTATTTTTATTATCAATGTTAACAGTAGAGATGAGCGAAGAAATGAAAAATTCGATTCGACTGATTCGGCGAATTCGTGGACAATATTCGATTCGAGTCGAATAAATTCGCTGTGAATTTAACTTAAAAAAGGGTGTTTCTAGGCTTCAGAGAGACTTAATATTAGTGCAGAACACTGTACCTTTAATTTAAATGCCCTTGGAGTCTGCTGGGGAAGAGAAATAATACTGTCTGTCAGTATGACATGCAGATGAGTGCCGTCGATCTTAGAATCACTGCACACTTCACTCCTTTGGCCAGTCACGGGGCCAAAACAGTGTTTGGAGCCACAGTGTGGCGGTGGAGGCAGCAGCAATGGGAGGCCATACAGCAACCTATGACAAAATGGAAACCAGCAGGAGCGTGAGGAGACCTGAAAGTGGCACATGGCAGAGTGGGAGCAATGGGAGGCGGTACAGGGACCCAGGTCACACTGTGGGCCCAGCAGCAGCGTGACCAGGCGGTACGGGGGGCCCATGGCCGATATGGGGCTTGGTGGCACCTATGGAAGGCCTGTAATCTGCCAGCAACCTATGACAAAATGGACAACCGCCAGGAGGAGTGTGAGGAGATTTCAAAGTGGCACATGGCAGAGTGGAAGCAATGGGAGGCCGTACAGGGACCCAGGTCACACTGTGGGACCAGCATCAGCCTGGTGAACAGGCGGTACGGGGGCCCATGGCCGATTGACCTCATTCATCCCATAGTCCTGCCGACTCACGAATAGCGTGGCTCTCCTCAAAGGGCCTGAGCAAGCGCAGGTTGTCACACAATGAGCTGACAATGGCTGACATCT